CTATACCACTAAAATCCATGTCTATCATGACAGGCTTCATGTTGCTGTATGTGAACCAGTAGCACAATCCTGCCGACTACGCCAATTCTGTCAGCCGACGGTCAGGGCAGTGTGTGTGTGTATGTTTCCGAGAAAAGGTTTAACGTCCGTGCCTTTACTGCTAGGACCGGGGTCCCATCGCAGAGGGTGGCCAGCAGGCCAACAGACGCCCCGTTATATAGGAAGAGCTTATTACATCTTAGATTTCAGCTGCTAGAATTTCATAATTCCTTCACAGCGGGCAGCCTCGGGGAGACTGAGAAGCGCCCCAACTGAATTTTGCCACCTGGGTGTGACACAAATCCAAACGCCCAAGCTCTCCCTATATCTGTCCCTTTATGACCGGCTGAAGTTCTTTTAAATTGTGCTTGGTTCTGTTACAGCAACTGAAGGAGTCAGGTTAAAGCTTAAACAGTTACAGGTTTATTGAGGAAGCTTATAAATCATATGGTTACAATGGCTATTGCTCTATTTCTTAACTATTAGCAAAATATAGGTCTTAAAAATGGTTACAAAGAAGATAAAGATAGAAAAATAGAAATAATGGTACCAAGTAACAGCTTACTCTTTCTATGTGTACACTTAAGACAGAGGACCACATCCAGGTACCATTTTTACCCCCTTCTGTGCCTCTCGACTCCAGCATGTCAGGCCAGGGCCGGTCCCTCAATTCCTAGGAAAGACGAAAATACGAGGTGGGCGTCCCCATAGAACCTCGGGAGGTCAAACACCTAACCCGACCAGCAGGTAGAGGGTAGAATGACACTCAAAGTGAGTGTGTGCTGGGCCCATCTTATATACCCATTGGGTCACGTATTTTCTCTTTCTTATCTGTAATGCCAATTGATGCTGGTCTGTCTGCTGTGAGACCAGTTCTTACAAGGAAGTTGTGAACTTAATTTACACTTGTAAGAGAGATTTGAGATGATTAAATTTTGAAGTACTGGACATTGTTTTCTCAGTGGGAAATTCCTCTTCCTGGGACTGTGTGTTCGAATCAACATAGGTGCCAGCCGCAGCCTCGAGGCCAGCTTATTGACTTAGCTGCTCTCTATCCACATATCTGTGTTTCAGCTTCTCAGGATCAGATGAGCCAGCATAGACTATGCTGATATTATTGCTCCTTCTCTGCCCTGTGCTTCAGAGAGGCAAATAAGATGGATGATATGGAGGCAGGCTGTCTGGCCACAATATGATTTTATGCTCTGGTCCTACACTGTTTTCACTGGCATTCCCTGTGTTGGATGTCCAATCACAACCAACCTTCTTGATAAAAACTGAAACAAAGATGTCATTAAGCACCTCAGCTATTTTCACATTTTCGATTATTGCCTTCCCCTATTCAGTAGTGGGCCTGCTCTGTCCTTGGTCTTCCTCTTGCTTCTAATGTATTTGTGGAATGTTTTCTTGTTACTCTTTATGTTTCTAGTTCGTTTGAGCTCATTTTCTAGTTTGGCCTTCCTAATTTTGTCCCTACATGCTTGTGCTATTTTTTTGTATTTATTCTTTGTAATTTGATCCAGTTTCTAGTTTTGTAGGACTCTTTTTTATTTTATTATTATTATTATTATTTTTAGATCATTGAAGATTTCTTGGTTAAGCCAGGATGGTTTCTTGCCATTCTTCCTATCTTTCCTACACATTGCATATAAAAAGAGTGGGAAATTGTTCATCAACTTTTTGAATTTTTTTTAAATGTTGGCCAGTCTATAAGCTGGTCCAATAAACACACAGACAGGCAGCTACACTTCTGAAAAAAAATTGAAATATTGTTAACATTTTTAAAATATCTTTTATTAATTAGTAAACTGATTACCAGTAGGGTTGCCAGGTATCCGGTATTTTTGCCTCCTGTCTGGTAAAAAAAATCAGAAAATACGGGACACCTAAAATGTCCGGTATTTTCTGATTTTTTCCTGGCCAGGAGGAGAAAATCCCAGGTGCTTACCTGGTTCCTCAGGGGAACTGTGTGACCCGGAGCAGGGACGGAGATGGCCGCCGGCAGCTTGTTAGGGCCAAAAAGCCTCACAAGTGTTTCTTAAAGGGGCCACGCTGTTTTTTTAAATTTTTTAATTTTGCTTAACAACTCTTGGGGGTCCTTTTTTTTATCAGCTTTGGTCTCCCCCTTTTTTCTCAACAGAATTTATTCCCTGGTGTGGGTTTTTGGGGGGAGAGGGTCAGTATTTTTGATTAAATCATCTGACAACCCTAATTACCAGGGCTAAGGCCTGATTCAAAGTTCACTGAAGTCAACACGAGTTTTTCCATTGCTGCAATATGTTTTAGATCAGAGCCCAGGAAAGTAACTATATGCAGCAAAGTCTGGAATTGTAAAGACCCCACTATACCAAAAAATATATATTTTTGCTGGAATTAATATTATTGATAGATGAGTAAATCCCATCTATTGTCAAATATGTGTCAGTATCTTGTGTCAGAATGGCTGTAGCAGTAATCAGTAGAGTCATTAGACCTTTGAACTCTGAGCCCAGTCAGGTGATCTTGGCCAGGATACTGTGTTCAGTTGTGTTTTCCCAGCACTCCAGTATGTCACACTGTTATCATGTTGGCTTTGAGCATATGCTGTCATTAGCTGCCAGTGCTGCTTGGCAGAAGATCAGACTCACATTATTCTGCTCAAAGAAGTGGCAATGTATCACAACAGTCTACACTGCCACAGCAGAATGTTTCCTACACCAGACACACAAGAGGCAGCACTGCTCCCCCGGCTGCACTGGCTCTCTTCAATCAAGCCAAAATTTAATCCAAAGGCAATACAGAAATATTTCTATGCCCTTGTGTGATGGATTTGGAGTTGACAGTCACTGCTTATGAATGCTACATCTAATATATATCTGTCTGCACATTGTAAATGTGTTTACTGACTACAGTTGTTGAGTTAATTCAGTATAGCACTGTAAGGGAATATGCCCTTATGTAACCTCCCTTTTCCTCCCCGGGTTACTGGGGAGGAGGTCACACTCACAGGTGTGCCTGGGCGCCTGATGTTTTAACCCAAAAGAGATCCTGAGCACCCCAGTGGTGATGGTGTTTAGTTGGGGAAAGCCCTATCCACTCCCTTGCTGGTAATGAATGTAAAATGGCGGTGCCTCCACCTGGCTGGCCTTGTACACACTCACTGATGTGCCTTGAGAGCCTCCAGGAACATACTCATTCCAACATAAAGCTGGATCTAATTCCAGAACAACTACAAATCATATACATCTAACAGAATACTTTAAAATAAATCATCTTTACTTAACTTAAATAAACAGGGATTAACAGATTTAGCAATGAACAGCATTAACAAAACACATAACAATAATTGAAGCTTACACAGCTAACATTTGTACTACCAGTGACCCCACCCCAGAGTGTGCACGCCCCTGGACTCACAGTCCCAGACTTTTGCTTGCGTTGGCGTGCTGATGTTGCAGCTGTAGTGGAGATTGGGTCCAGGCTAGACAGCAGCTCTGTCCCAGGTAGCACTTTCCCAACAAGGCCCAAAACTTACTGCCTCATGCTGTGCCTATCGGAAGCAGCCTGCTAAATCCCAGTTCCAACAAGAACTCTTGTGCAAAACAGTTATTGCGCAAGAAGACTGCAGTGTAGATGTAGCCCTATTGTTTTAAAAAGACAGTTCTTGAAGCAAGAGGTAGACAGGTTTTGTTGTGGCCTCTCAGGAAGGAAAGAAAGCTGAAGAGAATGGAAACTGAGGCTTAGAGTCCAGAACTCTCTGTAGTTTCTGAAGATGTGGGTCTGCCTAGGTTATCTACATTAGTAGGACATGTCAAATTAGATCAGCCTCTAGGACTTCGGTTGTGTTAATTCTTTTTCTCTGAAATACTTTGTTCCTCTGCAAACAATATGCTAGTTTTAAAAAGATGTGTTTGTTGGTCATGGCAATCCATGAAAATGGCGATTGGGGCTTTTTTGCGGACAAGCGTGTCTAGATTGGCTGGGACGCTTTTCTGCAAAAAGTGCTTTTGCGGAAAAGCGTCCGTGCCAATTTAGACGCTCTGTTCCAAAAATGCTTTTAACGGAAAACTTTTCTGTTAAAAGCATTTCCGGAAAATCATGCCAGTCTAGACGCAGCCAAGGGCTATTAGAAGAGCCAACTATGGAGCTATAGTTAAATCACCTTAAATCACCATTTTAACAGTCAGACACAGTAGTTTTTTCTGATGCTGTTATGAAGTAGTGTGTCTCATGTGTATGGAGATTAAATGTCATAGATTATTGCCTTCTGCTGTGAATTCTCTGATAGCCAAAATAATGTGCCTCATGCAAATGTGACTTAAATATGGGTTGTTTTTGCCTTCCATTCTGAATTTGGTAATTTTAGGTGTAATCTAATAAAAATACTCTATGTTTTCAAAAATAGAACTTCACTGAGTGCAAATACATGGGCAACAAATGTAAGTAAAAATGGAAGAACAGTGAAAGTAAATAGTAAACGTTTATATTTATGTATATATGTCAAACTTACTGCAGTGTAGTAAGTTTTGTTTGATCCTGTGATTGTACAAATATAACAGACTGGTCAACCTTGCTCTTTAACATTGGCAGTAGCTTTGCCCCCTTCACCTCATAGATACTATGTAGTGCTATAATAATGCAGTTATAATAATGATGAGGATGTTTGCCTTCCTGAGACCAGGGAGGAAACTGCTCTAGCAACCCTTCAAACTTCCAAAAGCAAATTGAACAGCAATTCAGCCTCTGCTGAGCTGGGAGTGGCAGCCGGTGCTCTTGAGGTGGCCAGTACAGCTTCATAAGTCAGGAGAGATAGGAGTAGACTAGATTTCCCAAAAATATCACTAATTAAATTGCAACATTGTCTATTATAATGCAAGAGTCAGAGAAGAATGTTCCTGCATGCAACTGTTTCTGAAAGCTGTGAGCATTATGCACCTTCCTACATTGATATTAATGAAGTATTCCCCATAACCCACTAGTGCAGTAATATCAGGTACCTGCAGCCCAGAGGTACGTCTAGACTACAGGCTTTTGTCGACAGAAGTTTTGTCGACAGATACTGTCAACAAAGCTCCTGTCGACAAAGAGCGTCTAGACTACGTCCAGTTCTGTCGACAAATGAAGCCGTTTTGTCGACATGACAGTGTAGACACAAAGGACAGTGTAAATGCAATAACACCTTCTGTCAACAGAACATTGTCGACAAAAGGCGTTATTCCTAGTAGAATGAGGTTTACAGCCATCGACAAAACTGCTGAGTTCTGCTGACGTTATGTCGACAGAACTCAGTAGCAGTGTAGACGCAGGTATAGTTTTGTCAACAAAAGTTCACTTTTGTCAACAAAACCCTGTAGTCTAGATACACCCCAGATGTGATACAACAAGACTTCCTGTGTGGCCCACCAGCTCACCTTAAAACCATGTTTATCGTTAAATTCATGAACAGTGATGTGCTGTCTATCCCTTGCCTATTATTTCCTTAGGCTGAGTCTACACTGCAGCACTATTTCAGGATACAAAGGTATCCTGAAATAGCTATTCCGTGTCCTTTGAGTGCACCGGTTATTTTGAAATATAAATGATATTTCAGCCATCAAGTAACAGTCCCAAGCAGGTCTCTGCAACTGAACCTGTCACAGTTGGTTTCAGAGTTGGACAGCTGGAAAACTACAGCTGTTGGTTGGGAGACACGAGGTGCCAGATCTATGAACCACAAAGCCTGGAGGTGCTAGGGCCCATCCTCAGGAAGCTCTGGCACCAGTCCAGAACTGCTTCCTGAATCTTAATCTCTCATGATAGCATCACTACAACAGAACTAGGTCACCACCCATTTTTCCATTAGTGATAGAAATGGAGCCAAAAATTGAATGCAATTGAAAGAAAATGTTGTAAATTCAGTTGCAAAAACTGAGTTTTAACCCAAACTATATAGCAGATTGGGGTTTTTCTATGACACTTCATTTAAACACAAAGCCTTTGTGTTGAGTGTGCCAAACCGTTGCATACATCTGTAAGGTCATAAACATGAAGTGCCACAATGAGTCAAAGCACGGTAATGGTAACTTGAATGTGACCTATGGTTCTGGCAGTATTTCAAGACCTGACAAAATTGAAAATCTGAAGTCTTAGTATCACATTTCAAATATCATTTGGTGGGGGGGGGGGGGGAAGCAACAGCTGCTTCTCTTTGGATAATGTTGTTGGTACTATCTAAAAAGCCTTTCCTGTATGCTAGATTTGGGAAGGAGTCCATGTTGGAAATGCTGGAAGAGTTTTTTAACAGAGATAAAAACAGAGACATTGGGAACTGTGTGGAGCAAGTTTCCCCGTCACATTCCATAGCAGTGCAAAGATTGGAGGTAATTTCTGAGGATTGTTTGTCACCATTGCTTTCCAGTTTTAAAAAAATATCAAATATGTGTCTCTTACAGGGGCTGTATCATGCAATTTAAATGACACGGCACAAGTATTGCTGTTTGTTTTATGATGATGGTGACATTTTCAAGGATGAATTTTTGGGCTTAATACCATTTAAATCTATACCACAGGAGAGATTATGAAGTCGGCTTTGCTTCACATTTGGCAGTGATACCCTCTTCATTAAATACACTTCACTGCTTCACCAGAATGTCCTGTGAAGTAATTTGTCTGGGGACTTTTAAAAAAACAACCAATGGATATTGAGATTAGTTAACGACCTATGCTCAGATTCTAGCTTGCAGTGTCATCTTTTTAAAGCTTTTACAAGACTTTTCAGGCATATACAATGTACCAGCACAACGTTCACTCATTAAGTAGAGGGCACGTGATAGAGAGGTTTTATGTGCTTCATAAAGAAAGAAAAGTTCTTTTGAACCACAAGACCAATAAGGGTTGTGAGTTTCTGGAATTTATGAATGGTGTCACCTCTAGGTCACAGGACACTTCTGTTTGATATTAGTGCTCAAGGCATGCAAGAACTGTTTGAAAGTGTGTACTTTAGAGGAATTATGAAATCCTTCAGACAGCATGAAAGATGTTGCACTCTCCCATACTGTGTGTAGTTGCTACAGTGAGATCTTGATGAAAACAGTACAAGAATTTCTAACCGATGTGATCCATTTTTTTTAAAGTACAATTTGCGAATTTTAAAATTCCAAAGGAGTTGCTTTTATGTGTTTGTGATCCATTTGTTGCCTCTGCCAACAGATCTTACTTTTCTGAAGCAAAGAACGTTCTTGATTCATTTGATGAAGGTGCCTTTGAATTATAAATTCTAAGGCTCCTGAGCTCAGATGTCTTGAAAGCAAAATTCAAACAAGTGAGACTTTAGGATTTCTGGCCTCAGTATACTGCCCTGTTTCAGAATAGCCAGCATATAGCAATCTATCTTGTAATGATGCTCAGGTCAACATACCTTTGCAAATCTGGGTTTTCTACAATCAACGTTATAAAAAATATCTCCACGATCACTTGATAGATGAGCATCTTCACCAGTGCCTTAGTCTGAATTCCTCCAAATCACGTTTCACAAAGCTTGCCAGAGATCTTCAATGTTAACTTCCCTCATTACAGATTGCCACAATCACAGACAATAATGGTGATCTATAAACTTTGAAAAAGATAGAAACACTAATATTTATGTTGCAGTCAAGGTCTTTATTTATTAGCAACTGAAGGGTTTTGTATTGTTTTTGATTTTGTCAGCCTTCTGTGTAAATAAACCCGCCTCCTGTCATAAAATTCTGAAATCAGCCTACAGGTAGGTCTAGTTGAGTATCACTGCACTAGTGCTTGTATAAACATGGAAAGTATCTCTTTCTGTTGAGGCATTCACTGGCAACATGGGCTGGTGCCAGAACAAGAAATCCTTCTGTCAGATGGAGTCAGCAGCAGCCACGATCAGGTTCAATATCTAGGGGTACCTCTCCATCCATCCGACACAGAACAGGCTTCAATCTCCACCCAGTAATCTGGGAAATTCACACACCACCCCTGGGCATCTCTGGGAGGCAATGCTTCCCCACTCGCAGGCACAGCGTCTGAGTGTAAAAAAGAAACTTTAAATAGAACAGAGGGACATAATGTGGCATTAACTTGGGAAAACACCACAGAGTTCATAAACAAAATCCACGAGTAACAGTCCCACCCCAAGTAGGTTGAACAGTGTCCTTCTCCTCTCAGGGCATTAATTCCAGCAATCTTAATACCCACTTTGCATCTTTAAACATTCACTGCACCCCACACAGGATACGGCTAGACTGCAGGCAGATTTCGGGATACCAGAAGTATCCCAAAAAAGCTCCATCGTGTCCGGAGAATGAATTTGCTCTTCCTTTTTTTGGGGGGGGGGGAGTGAAAGAGCAAATGTGCACTTCTGGAAGCCCCTGTATTCCTTGTTCTACAAGGAAGAAGGGGGCTTTTGAAAGAGGTGGGGTTTCCAACATTTGGCCCAGTCTAGATGGGCCAAATGTTGGAAAAGCCTCTTCCAACAAAAGAATCTGAAAAAGATACGCAAAATGCAGAGCACACCCAGAGGCACATCCATAGAGTTCACCTCCCATCCACAGAGAGGGAGGGTAAAGCTTACTCACTCCGCTGGTCACTTGCCATTCCCCTGCTCATTTTTCTCTGTTGCCTCCCTATTGGCCATTCATCAGACTTCTCTGGTGCTGCTCTGCTGGCCACTCATTGCATCTCTCCATTGTTGCCCTGTTGGCTGCTTATCACGTCTCTCTGCCACCACCTTGTAGGCTCTCTATCACCATCTGCTGCCATCCACTTCTTGGCTCTGACTTATGCCCATCAGTCTCAAATGATTTCAACTCTTACTAAGTAGGTAAAAGAAACACAAATCCAACATAGTTAACATGATAAAAGAGGCACCTAATGATACCTATATATCTCTGCTCTGTCCTGACCAGAATAGCCTTCCCTCACCCCTTACCTCTCATAGACTCTGAAAGTTGAGCCCTTACATTAGAAAGATTCTTTCTACTAACTTTCATCTGGAGCAATTTAGCACAGTTCTACTTTTCTGTATTCCCACAAAATTACAAACATAGATACCCATATTTTAGCTACCCCTGTATTTAATACAAACATAGCAGGTACTGAGTCACAAATTAAGTTGACTAAAATGAGCAAAATACAACTCTAACTGCTGGATAACTCACAAGCGGAAAGCAAACTGTAATTACGCCTCCTCGAGTAAGTCACTGCCCAGCAGATGAGTAGCAGGTATATACGGTGCTATCAAAATATAGAATGTGTGAGGGAAAAAAATGACAATTTGGCTCACAAAGAACATATGACCCAATTCTGCTCTCAAGGCTCAGTCTTGTGAAGTGATGCGTGGATTCTACATCAAAGAATGTTGAGTGCGCAATATTTGCTAGGAGGTACATTATATTCATGCACAGTCCCTCTAAAAGTGGCACAGGAAGGGATTCTGAGGTACCAGCTCATTCTGAAAATGTGTGTGCTGAGTTGTGCTGAGGAGAGTAGAGAGCATATTTGAAAGTCTTGTTAATAAAAAGCTTGTTGATTTACCCTACCTTATGTGAATCTCCTTTCCTATGGGCCTCATCCTCCTTGATTGGATCCAGCTCGTCATCTCCAGCCTGATCCTGGCCTGCATATTTATACCTGCCTCTGGAAATTTCCACTACATGCATCTGACGAAGTGGGTCTTTGCCCACGAAAGCTTATGCTCCTACACTTCAGTTAGTCTATAAGGTGCCACAGGACTCCTCGCCGCTTTTGCAGATTCAGACTAACACGGCTACCCCTCTGATACTTGTAATTATGTAGACACACCTAATGTCTCTCCACACTTCCAGCTAGCTGTAAGAACCACATTCCTTCAGATCCTGCTTACATACTTGCTTTTCATCACTCCATTGCAGTTTGGGAATCCCATTGCTGCAAAGCTATCCACCATTTCCTGAACATTACTGAACTCCCAGTCCTGTGTAGCAGGAGATTCTTAATGGCGTTACATATTTTACAGTCCCCACTGTGACCTTTCCTGCTCCAAATTGATTGTCCATTGGTTAACAGCAATTTAACATTCCAATCTTCTCCATTATCACCGCCATTCTCATTTTGCTGTCTCTGTTCAGGAGGTTTGGGATGAAACTGTGAGTCAGGAATATAGTCTTTCCCATCCATAATTCTGCAGCCATAGATCATCATCCCAAATCCACATTACAGAGTGATCCTATCTCAGACATAGCAATTCACAATATGGAACTGCTCCATGAATGTCTGCAACAAACTGGCTTTTTCCCTCACATCTTCTTCCTTATATTCCTGAGTGTAACAGTGCCCATTCAAGTTCTGCAAATTCAAAAGATTATCAACTCTCTGGATTAGCAACTCCCAGGAGAACTAGCTGAGCTGTACACGGTTCATGCTTCTTCCAGAGACATGGTGGAGTTTGAAAAGCAGCACATGGGACTATGGGAGTTTTTAAAAAGTCACAACAATTATGGAATGGGAAAAAGCATTATGGGATGGAGAAAGTGGTATGGTGTGAACTTGATCCCCATGCCCTAAAAAACCCTGGGAAAATCACTGGTCTCCCACAAAACCCCTGGGGAAATGACCCCAAAATTCACTGAGCCAGACAGCAGTGTGAGAGAGACTGCCCTGCCGCACCACATTTTACAACATTACAACCACTTGTACAGTGTGCACAGTACCAACACAAACATCCAGGGATGCACATGCCCAAGCAATATAAAAAAGACAGTAGCTGTACACCAATGTAACTATAGTGTAGACATGTACAAATGAGCATTGACGAGGTTGTAACACTGAGAAATAAAAAAACAAATCTATTCAGAAAAGCACCCTGGAATAGGTTTTGCAGAACAAGTTTCAAGTTCAGAGTGAAAATGTTTCCAACTCAAGCATGAGGGGAAAAAAATAAAGGAAAAGCAGTCAGTGATAACAATAGCAGCGTTAGTAGTGAGTGAGTGTCACTGGATTTGAACAATACATAATGCGGCAACATTACCTGCCTCAACAGCATCATTTCTGCCACAGGCAATGAATCACTTCACAAAGTCTTGTACTTGAAGGAGGGATTTTTTGAGAGCTTTCACAATGATACTAATGTAGAAGAGCTTGCAACCTCCTTGTTAGCTGCTTGTCTGAGCTTGTCTTCCTCAATTAGTCTCTGCCATTAGAAGAAGGATCATTTGGTGGTGCATAAGACAAAAACTTAGAACAATCTAATAAATGTACTTCAAAATTCACACCAAACAAGCATTTTAATCCAGTGTTATAGATTTGGTGTATGGATAAAGTTATTATTCCACAATGCTACATATTAAATTACAATAGTTACAGCCATTACTAAGATGGGCAGTCAAACATTTTCTGCGGGAATTTTTTTTTTTTTACAGAAAATTGGGTTTTCAACTAAATGAAAATTCCCATTAAAAGTGTTCAGGGACTGTGAGAGAGAGATGACAGAAGAGGACGGAGTTGCTGCCTTTGGTTGGCTTGGGAATTTTTTTGGGGGGGATTGGACTTTTGGAAATGTTTATTAACACTTTTGAGCAAAATTGGAAGTTTTAGAGTTTTTGACGAAATGTCAGTTTATTCCATGAAAGTTTTGAAAAAAACTAAAGAGATTTTTTTCTGTTTTTGTTAAAAAGCCCACATACTTACCAGTTCTCCTTATCAATAATAAGTCATTCTCATGGTCCACTTTCCATTTGTGGATAAATATCATTAGCCTCCTCATTTTGAAGAGGGGAAACTGAAGTATAGACACAAGTTAATAAAACATAATGAATCTTTTACCATGAGCATATCCAATGACTTATGACTGTGAAGATATTAGGAGTAAATTCAGAAGACCCATCAAAGGCAAGCAAGCTCCCGGGTTTCTCAACATCGCCATCCACAGCAGGAGTCACAGGAAAGAAAAAGAAACATGGGTATGATCAGGAATAGCTCACTCTAGGAGGTAGCTGTATAGCCTGGCAATGCTGTCCCTAGGAATGGTTGATTCCATCGCTGACAAAAACCAAGAAACCCAATGAACCAACTGAAACCCAAACTTGGCAGCTAGATATCCACTGAGACCCATGTAAAATTAATAAAATAAATTAATGGGATGAGAAATCCTCACAGCAAGCAGCCATGAGAACTCCAGCTACCTCTCATGTGGCCTCAGCTTAAAAAAATCTCCCAGCCTTAAAAAGGCTTTGATAGAAACCAGATAATACCTCAACACTGAGGCACACGGGGTCTAACAAAAAGGTTCCTAAGCAAAACCCTATCCCCCTGCCCATTGACAATGACTTTAACAGCATATATTAAGAGAAGCATTACAGGGTCAAAACCAACCCGCGCAACAATTCCCTCTACACCCACCTCCTCAATGAGGCTAAGCATGGCAACCAGTTCACAACAGTCTTTCTCATAAAGGAGGCACACCTATAAGTGCTGACTTCATGAGTGCTCTAAGGCTAGGGCACCCCTGGGGAAAAATTGGTAGGTACTCAGCAGTGTTCCCTATAAGCTGTGCACTTGTGCAGCCACTCAGAAGAAATTCAAATGCCCCCACACTGATTAGCAGAGTGCCCACTGCTAGGTTTTTTTTTGTTATCGTTTCTACTGGTGGTGCATGTTCACACATAAAACATTATTCCACACATAGATGGAAAAAATAGATGGGTAGCAAAGATTAGAGGGAACATTGGTGCTCCTCACCCAATGGCACCCAAGTTCCCCCTCCCTCCCAATACCTCTCACCTACTGTGAACAGCTGTTTCACAGCATTCAGAATACTCCTGGAGGGAGAGGAAGAAGCAGGGATGGGATGCACTCAGGGAAGGAGAATGGGAAGAGATGGTGTGGAGGCAGGAGCTTGGGGATAGAGGTGGAATGGGGCATGGCTGGGATGGAACAGGGACATAGGAAAGAGGTGGAATGGGGTGGAGGTTTGGGGACAGCGGTTGAGTAGGAGCTGGGCCCGGGGTGGAGGGGGCTTGAGTATCCTCCAGCTAGAGGTGGAAGTCAGCACCTAAGGGCATACCTACCATTTTAAAACCCAGTCACCTTCCCCACAGCTAGAACACACTCTTCCAAAGAGGCAGAGTTTGGAGGCGAAATCTACATCCTATGGCCATGAGTTTAATCCTCAGAATCCACAACAAATGCAGGTCTCTATCCCCCAGAGATGGCCATACCAGCCCAGAGGGCAGACAAAAGCCTGCTAAAACAAAAGAAATCCTGAAATCAAAGTCACAGGTTCACTCCCACAATCCTCTGAGCGTGAAAAATAGAGACAGGGTTCTCCCAGGTCTCTAGTACCAGAGGAGTCCAAAATATAAGAGGAACAGTGCCTTGAAATAACTGTTCTCAAATTAGTGGACACAATATCTCAACTTAGAGCCCCAGGAAGCATTGGGGAGTAGTTGTTTTTAAATTGCAGCAGTGGAGTGTCCACACTACCGCTATATCAAAATAGCGATTTTGAGATAAGGTTTATTCCTCGTGAAAAGTTGTTGTTTCGAAACAACCAGCCGCTTATTTCAAAGCTTGGTAGTGTGGATGCTCTACTTGTTATTTCGAAATAAGGGGGATTATTTTGAAATAACTCCCTAGTATAATCATATCCTTTATAACATAATTAATTCTACTGTAATTTTAGCAACAATACATCACATGACCTATATTTCAGGTTCAGATATTAAACTACATTGTTTGCGTGCTAGACCATAATGCCATCATACTGAACTGTGGGGGTCCGGTCCCACCCCCTTCTCTGGCCTTTATCTTTTTAACACTCCCTAGCTGTGATTGGCAGCTGCTCCCAAAGTTTGTTCCGCTGGATGTGCGGGGTGGGGGGTCTGGGCCCACCCTCACTCCCAGACCCCAACCCAGGGCCCTAAAGACAGAGTCTCCCGGACCTGTCTCACCAGAGGGGGTATGTCCCCTTAACCCACCGGTGCGCCGGCTCCTTGCCCTGCCCTGGGCTGCTTCCACCCCGCCTCCTTCGCGCCTCTTTTTATAACTGCCCGCTCCGCCTCCTGCTTCGCTCTCCCCAGCTCCCTTTCCTCCCTCCCCCCTTTCCTCCCTCCACAGGGCTTTTTATCCCCCTCCCCTCGCCCTTCCTCCTGGGCGTCTGACGTCACTTCCCTCCCCCCCCCCCGCCGCCACTTCTGGCCGCCAGTACCCTGCGGCCCGGCGCCCCGCGTTGCTCGGCAACGGTTGCTGGCCCGGCGCTCAGCTGACGCGCAGCGGCGCTACACAGCCCGCACGTCAGCAACCCCCGTGGTGTTGCCCCTACTAGTGAGAGGGCAATCGCGGGGTCAGTACGGGGTGGGCCCGTTTTGGGGGGGTAGGTGGGCCTCACCCCGTCACATGAACAAAGAAGGGTTGTGGTATAGGGCTTTGACATTATTTTGTGCTGCCTTGCTGAATTTTCCTATCAAAAATATTTGACAGAGCAGTGTAGGGATTTGTGTGGTAAATTAAAACTTAAATTTCTAAGGAATAATAATACTTCTTTAATCTCCTGACAGGAGCAGGGTTATTTCTCATATTTCTTCTTGCATAGTTCAATAAAACATATCCTCTGGAGACAATATATTCCACTTAAAGCACTGAACCGAATTAATGTATTAAAATATTGGAAGGACTTTTAATAATGGGGGATAACATAGGGGCATTTTTCACTCCTTTGACAAGTTAAGATAGAGAAACTTTCCTGTAGTAAGGTAAGTCTTTACTGGGCCTCATTTTGATAGGTGCTTACTGCTAAGCAGTTGCTCTGAACCTCACAGGACTGAACCCAAAGTCAGTTCATGTCTGAAAGCAGGAAAAGAGGGGACAGATTTCTTGAGTATATGTGCCATCTATATTTTCATGCCTTACTGACAAAATCCCATCGAGCTGCAACAGGCTCTTATAGTCACCCAGCTGGTGATATGAGTCTTTAATTCTGTATGTTTATAGCCAGGACTCTTATGCAGCACAGAGAGCAGCACCAGGTGTAATGACAGGATTTTAATCTGTGGTTGTTTTATGAGGGGGGAGCTTGAGCCTGGAACCTCTGGTGCAAAACACATAATCCTCTTTTCTTATGCTACAACAGCAATGGACAACCTAGGCTAGTGAGTGGGCAGTATGAGATTGGCATTCGCCGTCTACAGTTCCACTGGGATAGGGCAGTTTTGCTAACTGTGCTTGTGTACCTAGCAGTTGCCATTTGAGTGTGTAGCTGAGGGTGTGCCGATTGAGCCACAGCAGCACTTCGGTTGAATGCTGTGGGAGTGCACAACTCTTCAGCCAAGGTTGTGTGCAATCAGCATGCACCTCACTTTATGGGCCCTTACTTTACATGTGTGTCTCTTTAGTAAATAGCCAGTTAGCCCATCATGAGATGGGATTTTCGGGTCTCTCCTCCACGTCCTATTTCCTTTCTAGCTTAGTCTTCTCTCCTGAGCCTCCGGTCTCTCGCTCTATCTCCCTCTCTCCCCTCCTCCTACTGCCTCCCCTTCTCTCTCAGCTCTTCTCCCCCTCCTGCCTCTCTCTCCCTCTCTCTCTTTCTCTTCTCCCCCTTCTGCCTCTCACTCTCTCTCCGCTCTCCTCTCCCTCCTCTCTGTTTCCTCTGTTCTCCTCCACCTTCCTCTCTGTCTCCGTCAGGGATGCACACTTGTCCAGGCTCTGCCTCCTGGCCGTGTATGTCACCGCCCCGTCCCTCTTCACCTCCCACCATGGCGCTCAGCTGACTTCTGTGCCATTCAGCTAGGCCACTGCGTGGGAGCAAGAGGCGCAAATGGTCGTTTGGGCTCCGTGGTCTGCATGGGGACTGCAGAACCCAAACAGCCGTTTGCGCCACTTACTCCTGTGCGGTGGCCCGACTGAGCAGCACAGAAGTCAGCCAAGTGCCATGGCAGGAGGCGAAGGACTTTACAGAGGCAACAGCGCCGCCCAGAGGCAACAGACAACATTACACCGTTACAGAGTCACAGACATTTGGCTACTATCACACAGGCACACAGGCACCGTGTATTGTGCGCCTGTTACCCGGGGCACAGGAAAAGCTTGAGCCGGCTCTGTTCCCAACCTGCCCGGCCCCTGTGTGTCTCACCATCTATCTATGAGAGCCTGATGCAATTCTCACTCATGCCAGTGGAACCCTTCCCATTAATTTCAATCAGGAGCCATGGGTCTATTTCTAGCATCTATAAAGTCACCTGGAAAGGGACTGACAGTCAGGGGTGTCGACAGCCTCTGCAGGCCCCTGGGCCAGGTAAGGGGGAGGCTGACTTCACATTCCCAGAATGGGTGTGGCCTCACATTGAAGGGGTGTGGCCTCGCATTGAAGGGACGGAGTTAGGGGCAGCCAACCCTCCACACTGCTTGAAGTGTGACACTGCCCCCCCAGCACCCCTCAGAGCCGATTTAAAGGGCCCAGGACTTCAGCCACCACTGCTGCTGCAGTAGCAGCAGCTGCAGCCAGTAGGTCTAGACCCCTTTGAATTGCCAGGTCATGGGGTAACTGTATCCTTCCCACCCTCCTCCCATGGGTGGGCTTCATGACAGGGTTTTTTCCTGTACTACAGCAAGTACATTGGCAGCACTGAGCACATTAGCAGCACCGAGCAAAGAATAATAATTCATAATAAGCTCATGGCTGAGTCACTATGGGTATGTCTACACTACAAAGTTAGTTCGAACTAACGGATGTTAGTTCGAACTAATGTTAGTTCGAACTAACTTTCATAGGCGCTACACTAGCGCTCCGTTAGTTTGAATTTAATTCGAACTAACATAGCGCTTAGTTCGATCTAGGAAAACCTCATTTTACAAGGATTATGCCTAGTTCGAACTAGCTAGTTCGAATTAAGGGGTGTGTAGACCCTTAATTTGAACTAGTGAAAGGCTAGCCCTCCCCAGCTTTCCCTGGTGGCCACTCTGGCCAACACCAGGGAAACTCTATTGCCCCCCTCCCGGCCCTGGACCCCTTAAAGGGGCACGGGCTGGCT